TGTATATTGTGGGTAAATTTCATTAAATTCTACATGAAACGTTTTCAGTAATCGTGATTTTTGTGATTTTTCCTTAATTTATGATAACCAGTGTATATTATTGATGCTTGTTGACGGACTGCGAAACTTGCAATGATAGAGATTATAGTGTCTAATGTTTTCTGTACGAATGACTTCAGACTGTTTCTGTTTAAATGCTGTTAACGTAATTAACATAACGTAAATCATATTTTCAGAAAATAAGTTGCTTACGAAATACGCTATGTTATAATTCGGGACCTTTCTGTCCATTTGGTAGTGTTTTCTGTCTCTGCGTGTTCATCTGACCTTGTAAAGAATTATGATCAAACACCTATCGGGAAACTTTCAAAAAGTTTTATGTGTTGTATTTAAGTTATTAAATTTTAATTTTACTTTCACGCTTGTAATTTAAAGGAATTGTGGAGCAGTTTGTAATGCGCGCACAGTTTCCATCCCTTTCCATCCTTTCTTTTTTATTTAGCAGTTTTTATCCACTACAAATGAAAATTAGAAGTTTTGGCTATTAACGAAACTTAAGATTTTAATTTTCATTAATGCTTAGTAACATTTTGCAAGAAATTTCATTTTATATCATTAACGATTTGTTTATTGTAAAACATTTTTCTAAGTGTAATGTAATGTAAACTGAAGATTTGAAACATTTTATGCTTTCCAGTTATTCCCCCTCCCGAATACTAAAGTTATTACTGCCTTTATTTTCATAAGTATTGACCTAGGTATACCCTTCTAGTCACTGGGTTTCTCAAAGTAAGCAGAATAATTATATGAGAACAGTTTCATCTCTTAAGTGGTAGAATTCTATAAATACAAAATGTACCTCTTGTATGAATGTATCTAACTCTCGTATGGTTTAATTTGAAATAAAAGTTTTTCTCTGTTAAATCTTCCTCTACATATTTTTGCAGAGTATTTCAGATTGCGATTTTGAGACGTATCTGTAGCCTGAAATGACATATTCTTGTCATCAAGATATTTTAAAATCTGTCTTTAATTTTCTCCGATGACTTGTATAATGATAAACCTTCACTGAAAATGGTTTCTGTCAAAATTAAAGAGTGATCTAGTTAGCGAATTGTAAAAATTACTTCTATTTAACGTTAGTATAAATAAATAAGTCTCCCGACAGATTCGGAGAGCAGTTGTTTGATTTAGTTAACGTTTCAAGAGTAACTTTCGAATTGGATAATTAGCAGTTGCTCATGATTTAGAAATAATGGAAGCATATATAACCAATCACAAAATACTAAGATGTGTTGTGGAAAGAGAAGATTATTTCATTATTGATTGAATTGAATAATAGAGAACGAATCAATTGAACTGTTTGCCACCTATCGTCAGAGGTTGGTCTCTTCAAGTAAATCAATCGAGCCTTATGCTACATTTCCGCAAAAAATCCTTGATTTAAGCAACCAACTATCCTATAATCAGTGATTTAGTATTGTATTATTAAGTAATTCTGTACTGTGTTTTGAATAAATATTAAACCAAGAAAAAAGGGGGAAATAATTGAATTATTCGCTGTTAATAGCTAATAATGGAATAATCTTTTTTCTTAAACGAATTATATTATCATTTTGTGAATTGTGACATTATTTGTCTGTTGTTTCAAAATGAATTTGTTGAGACGGAAATTTACGACGGTTATTTACTAAATTTGGTAAATTTCGATAAAATAACCCCTCAATTCATTTAGTGATGTCACACTTCAAGGAATCACTTTTCAAATTAGTTCAGATCTAATTCATACCCTTAGCAGCACGTTGTTCACATTTTATAAGTGTCTGAAATAGAACTGTAAGAAATGGAAAATTGGGACTAGGCGGAGGTTGTTCCGAACAGTAATAAAACATTTTTATTCAAAGTGAAGGGCCACTCAGATCAAAATGGAGGAAGATGTTCATGAGGCTCCGCATCAGAACTGAAAACCTTCTTTTTCCTTGGATAAATGAGTGTGAATATAATCGAAGATGCACTGTGAAACATGTTCTAGATGCTCAAGTGGAATCATCTTTCTTAACTGATGTCGTTGGAAATATTGATGGTATATCTTGATGCCCAAATGAATCACCAAGTGAATTAATACCCGATGTTTTTCGGCTGTTCCTTTAAAATTAGTATGGTTTTGTGAAAGAGTCTTCCCTTTCCTCTAGTCAAGCCTGCATTGTTTCAATTCTCACTTCTCTTAACATTTTACCGAACGCTAGAGGTTCAACAGCATACGCACGTCCGACCGGCCGCTCAGCCGCAGATTCTCTCTGTTCTGAATAGCTGTCAGGACAATCTGATAAATCGTCTAAATAAAACTCTCCAAGTACCATTTTTTTTTTTTTCGCTCATCGTGAACGGTAATTTTTTTTAAAAACGGTGTGAAAATGTGAGCATTTATGAAGCAACGCGCTTAACGCAAGTGAGCAATGTATCTCAATATTAATAATAAAATGCAGATGATATAGCAAATGGCAATTGTTTATCGCCATGGCTACCGATTGATAGGCTATTTTTAGGTAGCCCTGAGAAAAATGCGATTAATAGGCTATCGTTCGGTAGGCGTTGGCGGAAAAAAGCCGATTAATAGGCTATCGGTCGGTAGGTGTTAGTAATAAAAAGCCGATTAATAGGCTATCGGTCGGTAAAGTGTTAACTCAGAGACAATATCCGTGCTACTGATCGGTCATCTGATGAAATGTTTCACCTTCTTGTAGCAGTGCATTGCATTATACGCCAGCTCATCCCAGCAGTACCTCTCGCACGATATGTGGAAAACTAAATCGGCGTCAATTGCTATTTGTCACATGAAATTAGGTCTTGATCTTTTCTCCTCTCAACCATCATACCATGATAGCCATAAGAAATATATTATTATTGTCGTATGTAATTAATTCTACATAGGATCGGGCAATGTTGCCCTGACACCTGAAATCTGTGACCCGGTCACATAAGCCAATATCCATGCATCATGACGGAGAATTGTTACGTGGAAGCGCGTGAGATTCTGAAACTATAAGCATTTCAAATAAAGAAAGGCGTTATATCCTACACAAAAAATTACAAAAAGTTGCGTGAGTGCCATGATTGTTATATGTCGACCAAAAACAAGCGCAGGAGAAAATTTCAAAGCAGTATTTAGTGATTTTTAATTACTGTCCGTGAGATTTCTTGCATCAGTTCATGATTTTGAATGAAATATAGGTCCTTCATTACATGTGTCTGAAAATGCGCCGAAAGCGAAAACCGTACTGTCAACTTTTAGAGATATGATTTCTGTTTGAATATTCTGTAGGAATCATCATGGGTGATCGACTTCCACAAATCGACTATTACGGCAACAAAATAGCATGAATTGGATTTTGAATTAATTTTTCATCCTTTTTGTGCATTTGACTTGTCTTCCAGAATAAGAAATTTTCGTCGACTAATGATGTTATATTAGTCAATGTAAATTGAGGTCGTACAGCCCTTTTGATTTGTTAAAATAGAGATTAGGATAGGAAATAAAATCGATTTGCCCTCTTCCTCTCAGAGAAACAATATTCAAGCTGCATTTTTTTAAAACCATATTTGTTCAATTACTCTCATAAGCAAAATATAATGATTGTTGGACTTCGTTCAGAAATGATTAATTCGTGCTTAATCAGTAGAGATTTTTGTTATTTTTCACTAACTATTCTAATTATGGAAAGAGACGGCAGAATCAGTTTTTTCGGGCAAGTTCATTTTTATCAAGGAAAAGAATGAAATGTTTAACATAGAATAATATACATTCAAAGATTTAAAGGAAAAAATTACAAACATTTACGAAATATATTTTTTTAAATCTTATCCTTCATAATGCGCATTTGAAAATAATTTTGAAGGTATTCTTTCATATTAATGCGCGAATAACATGCATCTAAAATGATCGTTGGAATAATAATGAAGGAGGAGAGTTAATGATTCGATGGGTGTGTATTTTTTATGAACATTAAAAAGTCATTTATTTTTTTATTTATCATTTAGTTTCTTTCCCTACCTCAAATTTAGTTTTATTATTTAATGAAAATGTTTTTTCGCATTCTAAAGAAATTATTATCTAAAAATGGTTTTTCTGAAATTTTGCATTCTTAATTATTTACTTATCGGACTGCGTACGTATCGTTAGAATTACTATTAAATGAAAACAATTATTATTTGATGAATTTTTTACATGTAAAAAACATTGAGTTTGTTAAATAAAATAAAATAACTAAAAATCAGAAATTGTTTTGAAACGTGTGGCAGATGTTCTAAAACAGGAAACAAAATAAACGGCTGTAAAATTTTTACGCCATAGCTTCCGTGTATTACCTCTCGAAGTTTTTTTTTAAAGCTTTTCTTCGTTCTAAATATACTCCACTTTATGCTGCGTAGTCAGCGTTGCTACTACTTTTGAATTCTCTCTCTCTCTCTCTTTTTTAACGGTTTCCCCTCTTTCTTTCCTTTTTTTTTTAATTATTAATTCATCATTGGCGGCCTTCTGTTTAAAATCATCAAGGTATTTCTTTTAAAATTTATGTCGTTAAGTAATTTATAGATAATTTTAAAACAGATCATTTTAACAGGCTTGGTGAAAATTTGTCATTCTATGCAGGATTTTTTGTTTCCATCTTCGTGTTTTGCAGTACTAGACTTTCGTATCCTAATTTTTTAAACAGCATTTTATCTGTAAAAGAATTATATTTTATATACTATTTCATTAACCGAATACGAAACAGAGAAGCTTATTTGGAGCATAAATATTTCACTTAATGTATTAAGTCGCTTCTCTCTTTAAAAATTTGAACTCATTTAATTCTGTTGTAAATGCAGACTTCTGTGGATTTTATGCTAAAAAATCAAGTAATGGTATTTTATTTTTATGTCTATCTTTTATTTATTTTTTGTGTGATATATTTGAATCAAATAGATATGTAAACTATTTTTTTTTTCCTGTTTCTTTTTAGGATCAGTATGATCACTTGGCAACACATACATTGAAAGGTATTGAGTTCCTGGAAAAATATAGCCAATTTATCAAAGATAGATGTGCCATCGAAAATGAATATGCAAGTAAACTCAGGTAATACATGTTTCTTTAAATATAAAAAGTTTAGAAATTTCAAATTAAAGTTGCACAGTATGCTGCAAATTTAATTAAATAATCAAGAGATGAGAATTAAATCAAGAAAGGGGTTGACAGTGTACAGTATACACATTAAAATTGAAACAAGGAAAAACTATTTGATACATATAATTTTTCAATCTTGCAATTTGTTAATTATAATCTCTTTTCATGTTGCAGTAATAAAAATTGTGCTAGTTTCCAAATAATAAAATGCTTTATTGAATAACTTAAGTGAATGAAATTATTGTTTTATTTAAACGTTGTATTGATTTCAAATTAGTTTCAAACAGTTTTTAGCAGCACTCTTACATCATTTTATCCATATGTGTGTTTTCTTCATACTTTAAAAAGTATGAAGATTCTTAAGTTACAAAAATTATATCTATCCTGGAGTGCCCCCCTCCTCCAAAAGGAACTTAATAAACAGAGAATCCAAATAAGAGAAAGTGCTAGGAAAAAGAAAAGGTATTGGTAGTGTGACGAATTCGATAGACAAGAGGTAGCGTAACTGATTTTATTTCTGTTTTTTCTAGGCTATATGCAAAAAAAAAAAAAAAAAAAAAAAAAAAAAAAAAAAAATAAATAAATAAATAAATAAATAAATATAAAATATTGCTCTAACAGTAGGGTGAATAAGTTCCTGTTTAGATGAAAGTTCTTGTTTAGAAAGGTAGTTCAAGATGAGGGATAGGCTCAAGATGAGGTTGTCTTGAATAAATCAAATCTCTAAGCCGGTGGTTGCCGGACTGAGCTGTGTCCGAGCAGGATGCTATTCGTAAGGTAGCGGCGTACCTGGCTAACTCGCTGTAAATCACTTGGCAGAGGATATTAGTATCGCTCTACCCAGAGCAAAGCAAAAATTTGCTTGTGGCCGAGCTGGAAAAAACCGAGAGAAGGTTTCTCTCTCTACTTACTGCAACTAACTGTCACTTTTTATTTCTCTCTCTGGAACTGCGTTCCATGATTTTGTTCAAATTGTCCTGGGCATGTCGGAAAAACTTCCAGGATCCTTATTTGTCCATAATTTTTAGAAGCGCCTCTTGATTGGTGAGAGCACTTTGATTAAAAAGTAAATATAATGAAGACAACCTGGGAAAAAGTCCGTGGGAACTTTTTGATTCCAACTGGGGGTCTCAAACCGGGTGGTCTGAGACACTGAACTTATAAACTGATGAAAGGGAACTGAACAATGTCTCCTTTCGAACAACTATAAGAGCAACAAAAAAAACTGAGGTTGTTTTGTGACTGCTGGTCACTTCCTCTTTCCGAGAATTCACTAAGAAATACTCTGTCCGTGGGAACTTTCAAGGTGGTCATTCTTTTTCTCAGAACTTGTGGTGGTCGATAAAATAGCTTAAGATGTTACAGTAGGTAGTAGAAATTATATTGTATCATATAGTATCTTGTTTATATTACTAAAGGGTGTCCGCAGGGTGGTATTCTTTCTCCGTGGAACCTGGTATTCGACTCACTCTTAGTACTTCTACGGGAGGAACCTGGCATGTCACAGGCTTATGCAGATGACCTTATTGTGTTATTACAGGGTTTCGATATCGGAACCCTACATAATCAAGCTCAGCAGATCTTAAATAAAGTTTCACACTGGGGTGATACAAATGGCCTTTCTTTCTCTGCTGAAAAATCTGAGGTCATAGTTTTCACGTGGAGAAGGAAATGGAAACTGGCAGATTTATATCTGGGTTACCAGATTATTAGGCGTAAGGAATGCGTTAAATACCTAGGATGTTACCTGGATAGTAAACTTACATCACCCATATAAAAGAAAAGGCACAAACAGCCACAAATGTTCTAGTACTTTGTAGGCAAATCATTGGTAAACAATGGGGCCTTAACCCCCAAAATCTACTCTATGGATTTATACTGCCGTAGTCCGGCCAATGCTGTCTTACGGATGCGTGGTCTGGATTAATGTTATTAACAAAAGCACGTATTTAAACATTTTACAAAAGGTGCAAAGACTTGCTAAGCATTAGTGGGGCTTTAAATAGTACCCCTACTGCTGCATTAGAATTTTTACTGCAAATTCCACCCTTGAAATTATTCTTGAGCGGAGAAGCAATTAAAGCCATGTATAGATTGAATAAAAATGGCACATGGTGCCAAAGGACAGGTTTTGGTCATAAAAGCCACCTGAAAAGCCACATTGACATATGTCTGGACTTGGGCAATGAGATCCCTATAATCTATATGCCCAAAAGATGCAATTACTAAAACAATAGTTCCAGATAAACTATTCTCAACTCATATACCAAAAAGGAATGAGATAGAATCTCTAATTGACCTAATTCCAACAGGATCAATTGAATGTTACACAGATGGATCAAAATCCAACTTCACTGGAGCTGGAGCTATTATAAGGACCAAGGGATCTGAAGAAGATTTCATTAGATTTCATCTATACCTTGGTAAATTAACAACTGTTTTCCAAGCCGAGGTTCTGGCGATCAATATGGTCGCCAGGGAGCTCTTAGCTAAAAATACAGTTGATAAGTATATATATATATTCTCTCTGACAGCCAATCAGCCATCCTTGCCCTGGCTAATCGTGTCAAGTTACAAAACTGTGTTTTGAACTGTACTCAAGATCTCAATTCTCTGGCTCAGGCCCATAATACCATTAGTTTAGTCTGGGTCCCAGGTCATTGTGATTTTGCTGGAAATGAACTAGCTGATAAAGTAGCTAAAGATGCTTCGCAACTACCCATGTCTGGCCCAGAACCATTTTACCCAGTTTCATATCAAACGGTTAAAAAAGAAGTAAGAAGCTGGATAAAGAACAAACATGATGATATATGGTCTAAACTACCAGACTGTGCTCATTCTAAATTGGTGCTCAGTACACTTAACTTTTCAGGTAAACTCATACACCTCAGTAGAACTAACTTACGCCAGGCACCATGTGCCATTTTGCACCTTGTGCACATGGCACATGGTGCCAGGTAATTCAAATTGTTACTGGACATGCTTATCTAGCTAAGCATCTCCACAAATGTGGTCTTGTCGAATCTCCTCTCTGCCCATCTTGTGGAGAAGAAGAGGAAACACCTTTTCACTTTCTGGGACGATGTCCGGTGTTCTCTGTCCCTAGAAACAAATTCCTTGGGTTTCCCTATATTACCTTTGATCAAGCCCTTTTATACAAAGGGCTCTCTGGCATAATAGGGTTTCTGATGTATACTAAACACCTACAGGTAAGGTGAATATGAAACCACAAGAAACAAGTATTGAGATGCCCTATGTGTTCTTTTTTTTTTTTTTTTTTTTTTGAAAAGAAACTATGCAGGGATTTCCCTCTCATAGCTGTGTTTTGGAATATAATTTGAAAACAGATATCAAATCTTTATACACTACCTGGCCATTTGGCTTGAGAATGCACCTCTGCCCTCCTTATTTATTTATTTGACTCTCCATCGCACTCTTGTTTGGTCAAGAATTTGCGTTTGGTGGTTTGGGAGGGATTGAATCGGTTTTCCATCCAATAGGGAAGTTTTTCACGATCCAGCCGACACCTTGAACTTAGAGATGGGATCTTTTGCTGATACTATAGATTTGGTGTCAGTTTGAGATCCTATCTATTTATTACTTACCTTTTACGGGAGTTACCATTTAAATCCCTTGATTTAAATGATCAAATGGCGGAAGAGTAATGGGCAATTTTGCCTAAACTCCTTTCCTTCTTTTCATTAGAAGGAAGCGCCCCTATTGTTATGTTTATGTTATGTTAGTATCTTGTTTTAAAATATTCAGAAGGTAGAATGATTCTCTTTTGATGAACAATTATGATTCACCTCATTAACAACATGTTATTATTCTATAGCTTATTTCTTTTTTCTTATTTCTCACTTTTCAGTTGATCACATTTAACTTTTTAATAAATATCCCAGTTGTAGAAATAAAATATACTATAACAGAGAATGACAGTAACGAATTAATGCTTTGAAAAGCTAGGTGTCATACTGTAATAGTAGTACTTTTATAACCATTGCTGCATAAATATTCTCTAAAAACTTGCTAGTGTACCTCTAGATAAAGATTAACACAAGATTTAATTAATTTATTTTTAATGATGAAATATGCATTTCAAATACTTCAGTATGTGCTATGTGGTGTACGTGTGTTGAAAATGTTCTGAAAGTTGTTGAAGTTAAATTAATAAGTACAATTGAAGCTGAGGTATAAAGTTCGTATTGCAAAATATTTACAGATAAAAAATATAAATGTATTTTTTCTATGTTTTCACTTTCTTGTATGAAGTAAAAAGGAAGTATTGTAATCATGAAAAATTTTAGGTATCATATTTCAATGAAAATATCCAATTTGACTGCTATCAAATGCAATTTAATAATGTTTTTCCATGACACCCATATGTAAGGACAGAATAAAGGACTCTTTTCTCAAAACATTATAAAACTTATTTAAAATGAATTCTGAAAAGATTTTTTTTTTGCAGCGTCTGTACGTATGTATGTATGTATCTTGCATAACTCAGAACTGAGTAGCCTCAGAATGTTGAAGTTTTGTTTATAGGACTGCTGTAACATGTAGATGTGCACCTCCCGTTTTGGTGTTGCAATCAGCTACACCAAAAGTATATAAATATATGTATATATATATCCACTTTGTTACTTGGCTTAATGAGCTCAGTTTCTATATTCTTATATGTTTGTAAAAATTATTGAATTATGTTGTTCTTATCTTCCAATTAAGGTTTTTATGCTACTTAACCTGCATGCAGTAATTGTAGAATTATCAACAATTTAAAAGTTTTTAAAGTGCGGCTAAGCCTAATTTTTGTTTAGCATGGCAGCCATATTTGTTTACATTTGAAGCTTAGCAGAATAGTGGATTTGTTGCCAATCTAGAGAAACTAAGCTTCGCAACAACGAAGTAGTGTCTTCTTTTATTATTGTGAATTAAATTATGCTTAATTCATTCTGGAATAACCAATAAAGTTATTAGCTTGTTTTTGCATAGAAACTCTAATTTTAATTGTAAAAATTGTTTTTTTTAATTGTTTTAACTGTACTTGGTGTTTTACAATTTTCTCTGTCTTTCAATTTTTAATGAAAATATTTTGAATTTTTATGTATTTTTGTGAAATACATACTTGCCGCGAGGTGAGAACTGAATTAGGTAGTAGCGCATGCGCATTAGGTAAGCGGCTCCGAATCATCTGCGAGAAGCTGTTTCTTTTTCATTTGTTTTCTTTTATACATCGTTTTAGATTTACTATAGTATTTGAATGGAACATGTGGTAATTCTTCAGATGATACAGTCAAAAGTCATTAATCCGGACTCGTCGTGACTTCGGCGATTCCGGATTATAGATCATCAGTTTAAATCTGGTAAGATGGCATGTAGAAATTATAAAATTAAAAATATGAAACCGTAATTTATGAAATAAAGAACAATTATGATCTAAAAGGTATCAAAATTTACAAAAAAAGAAGCTTAATATTTATTTGTTTACTTTATTAAACATTTCTTTCAATGTAAGTTGTTTAAGTTGCTTCGTTTTATGTGATAATACTTCCTCTTTAATTCTATAAACAGACATAATTTCTTGTTCAGTTACAAAGTTCTGCTGTTCAACGGAATACATCGAGAGGAAATACTACATTTAGTAAGGAATTATAAGCCAAATAAAATGAAAACATCTGCCCTGAAGATAAGGATAGTGCTGACGGATCAACTTTCAATTCATTGTGCGCCGCTTCGTTTCTCCCCGTCGCAGAGCAGCGTGAAATTGATAAACAGATTTCAGAATGGTTAGGTCATTTTTTGCAGCAATTCCACTTTTGTTTAATGGACTTTGAAACATACTTCCACTTTGCAGATCCTTTACATATTAGTAAATATATATCAGAAATTCTATTTGACATAATCGAAAGTTCAAGCTTACTTTTATAAAATTGCTGTAACAGTTTGCAAAAAATAATAAGCCAGATCCAATTCGAAGATTGAGGAACAACGCAATCTGCAACATTAACTGAATTAGATAATTTTAGCTTAGCTTATACCGTCCATTATATATTAAACGCGCATGCATAAACGTATTTTGCGCATGCGCACATGCATATTTGCAGCCGTAAATGCGCATGCGCAGAAAGTTTGTAGCTTTGAGGTCCGGATTATGGGTGTCCGAATTAACGACTTTTGACTGTATAATTTTTGCGCACTCTGCATTATAAGATGAATAAGATGTAACGCTGTTAAGTGAACCTAGCTCCGAAGTGTCGCTATGGTAAATAAATATAGTGAACTTTAAAGTATGCATTTATTCTATTGTGGTTTATGCACTATTGACAAAGTAGATTTATTCAAAATTCCTTAATTGTTTATTCATTGTGTTGAAATGAAATGCAGGGAAATTGCGTATAATTTAATATTTCATACAAGGAAGTCGTGCTGTACACATCAGATTTTTTATATTTATATTACCTTTCGGATTCATATAAACAGGAAAGTTCTCACAAGGGAAGCTGACAACTTCTGTCTCACCAAAAGTGCCCAGATTTTTCATAATTATTGAGGACTTATTAAAGTAAATATATGTGTAAAGAGAGAGATCCCACACCTCTAACGAATAAGTGAAAAAGCTAGGAATGATGTTCGAATTAACATTCATATTATCTAAAGTCTTCTGCCACAAACAAACATTGCTATTCCATAGACCTGCTAACTCAAAAGTCTTAATTCAGATCTTTTCACCAACAGAATCTTTTCTTCACTGATGTTTTTAATATTGTTAATGCCATTTTGAAAGAAAATTTATTAATAAAAATGTATTACAGAAATTTTAAAACAAAAAGCAATATTTTATTTCATTTTTAATCTATTTTTTTTTTACATTTCAATAAATTTATTTGCAACTGATTTATGGTAGGACATTAAAATGTAATAGGGGGACTGGAAAGTAATGTCGCTTTCTTACATTAAATTTAAACAGATAAGTTTTTAAAAAGTTTTTTTATTTTTAATCACTAAGTTTTTTATTTTTAATCAATAATATAATCACCCTCGTTATAACAACCTTTTGCCATCTAGTGTGCTAATTTTCAATCCTGGACCAATAAAAATCAAATAGTTTTGGTGTAAAATATCTTAAGATGGCATTTTGGACATCATCCAAATTTTTGAATTTTTTGCCACTAAGAAAATCAGGGATCAGAATAAATGGAAATCTGAGGTTGTGATATTGGGCGAGTATGGTCGGTGAGGCAGTATCTTCCAACCCAATTCATTAATTTTGTCCAGTGTTTGTCTTGCACAGTGCGGTCTTGCATTGTTGTGTTCCAGAATGGTGCCTTTTCTGTTGATAGTTGGTGGATATTTTTCGATTAAAAATTCGTTCACTCGATCCAATTGTTCACAAAGGTCTGCATTAACATTTTATATAGGTTTTGGCAATTCAAAATGAACAATTCCGCAAATACTCCACCAAACACACAGAAGTGCCTTTTTGGGATTAAAACTGCATTTTGTGTTGTGGATAATCATATAGGACCTTTTTTTTTTTTTTTTTTTTTTTTTTTTTTTTGTCTCCAGTAATCAAACGATCAAAAAGGCTTTTTTCTCTTTGGACAGATTATGAGGAACCCAAACACCTGCTCTGCTTATTTTTTCAATCTGCTTTAAATGTTTTTGAATGGTTGACCAAGGTTGGTTAAGGGTGTTTGACAGTTCCTCGATTGTTTGACATGAATTTGCTTTCTCTTCTGCCCTTAGCATTTTGTTGTCTGTTGTTGATCTTCCTAATGAGTAGGAGTCAGAGAGATCAAAATTACCAGATTTGAACTTGGAAAACCATCTTTGGCATTAATGAATATCTAACGCACATGGACAAAGATCGCAAATATTTTTAGTCACAACTTTTGCATTACTACCCTTGTGAAACTCAAAAAGCATACAAAGCCGGATATGCTCTTCTGGTATTTGGCTGGCCATTTCACTCCAAATTGCAAAAAAAAGTTTGATATTGAATTATTGAGAAGTGAGCAAGTCACAATAACCTTAAAATGACTTTGGCACGCATTTGAGGTACACAGTGAGCTGACAAATGATAAATATCGACATGCGCAGAAACGACATTACTGGTGACCCTGTTAGATTATTGGCATCAGATACATTGAATTTGGGATGATTTATCATAGTTTAATTCATTTCCTGCATTTTTCCTCTTTATATGTGCATGAAAAACATAAAAATGTAATAATGGAAGATGCAAGTTCACTGAATTTTCAGATTATGTGTAAGAAAATTTCTTATGAATGTTAATGTAAAAATTCACTTTTCCTTATAGTTTTTAATATTTGTTATTCCAAATGAAATTTAAATTGTTATAAACTATAACTCATGTAATGTTCTGGATGCCAGTGTTTAATTGTGGTAACATAACTAAAAAATGCAATAAACTAAAGCAAAATAAAATAGCTTTTAGTATAAAATTTTTCTTGCAACTTTAATGTTATAATTTCCTTGAATAAATATTGTTTTAAAATAATGTAACACTGAAAAGAATTCACAGTGCTTGGGAGTGGGAAATCTAGTTTCAGTGGGATCCATTCTGAGGATTTAGCTGTATGTGATGCCTAAGGTTCCCACCTCTCCCAGAATTGAGCCCTGAAAATTAAAATCTCCCGGCTCACGGAAAGAATTTAAAATAAATATCAATCTCCCGGAATATCAAGTTTCTGGAAAATAATGTTACAATGCGCATGGACCAAATGGTTGAGAGCATCGAAAATCACATGACGCACACAGCAGCCAAGGAACATCTATGTAAAGAAGGAAAGGTTCCATAGATGTAATGTAAACTATTAGTTTGCTATTATGACGCTAGAAACTTTCTAACAGAATTGTATGATGTTATGCTTGAAATCTGCCAAAAAATAACATTTTTTTTGGTAATTCAGTCGAAGATCTTTTAAACAAATTAAATGAAACGGACAAGGTTACGTTTTTTAAAAACGCAGACATTTTCTTTGAGAGATGTTTAGACTACCTGAAAAATTGTTATGATTTCGAAAACTCAAAGTACAGTAAATTGAGCATACTTTCAATGAAAAAAACCGATTATGTGGGATGCATTGAGAGACTTGGCCATTGATTTAAAGATCACTTTTGATGAAAATAAACTTTCTGATGCATTTTGAGGGAGGTTCAAGACAGCATTGTTAAATCAAATGTAAGAGAAGATCTAAGGTGGGCTAAATTTTTCTCAACAGTTGAAAATAGAGCTGGAGCTATGTTGAAGAAAGTAGTTTTATTCGTTTTGGTCTATACCTGTATTAAACTCTGCCTGCGAGTGTGTTTTTAGTATAGTATTCAATGTAGGGACTGAGGAAAGAAACTGTTAAAGGAAGAACATGTCAAGGCAGAAATCTTAATGTACTTCAATTTTAAAATAGACTGCAATGCATTTTTTTAAATTTATTATTTCCAGATCAGATATTTTTAAATCCATACAATCAAATGCAAAATTTAAGTTCAAAATAAAATAAAAAGTTATGAAAATTGATTTTCCCGCCCCTCCCCTGGATTTTGACAGCCAAGAGGTGGCAACGCTAGTGATGCCACCAGACTAGCAATGCTCCCTAATGAAAGAATAACATAAATTACATGAATGCTGCTGAGAACTTTATGCTCAATTATTTCACTTTCTCTCATTCTCTCACAGCATTCATTTTAAAAAATACTGGTAACTTTCATAGATGGTCATTGTAAGTTTTTTTTTTTTTTTTTTTTTTTTTTTTTTACATTTCATAGATGTATATATAGTTATCTTGAATGAAATTTATTTCTAATCTTATTTATATATTTAAAACTGTTTTATAATGTTTGTGCAGGAAGCTCACAAAAAACTACCACATTAAGAAAAAATCAGATGAGGATTTACAGTAAGTTCAAAATTTTTTCTTTTTTATTTAAAGGAAAAGATTTATTTGCATTTCAAATTATCTGCACTTTTGGTATTATATTTTATATTTTTAAATTTTATGCTTATTACCTGACTTTAACTTTTCCTTTTTGTGAAGGTTAGTTTTAGAAATAAATGTCAGAATAATTTTGATAATTTTTTATAAATGCATGAAAGCACAATTCAGTTTTTCTTCTTCCCTGACTCTTGCTGTACTTAACCATTCAATGTAATACATTTTGAATCATAATTTTCTTACTTCCTAGATTCACAGAATGTTCGGAAATTGCCATGGCAATTTCTGAATTCCATTTTAGGTGCAGTATTATAACTGAAACTTCGATTTCTTAATGTCCATTTTTATCTGTGCACCCTTTCTGTTGTAAATAATTAATTACTTGTTCTGTTATCGGACGGAACTTTTTGCATAAAAAATAGAATATAGAATATACTTGGATCATGTGCGTATAGCATTTCATTGGGGCCAGAATTTGTCTTTTTTCTTAGTTTTCGAAGTTCAAATTCCATTTCATATTTCTTTTTCGTTCATATTCTTATTCCATACTTTGACGTTTTCGTTCTTATACGTTTTAAAAATTGTAGAAATTAATTAAAGTCGTTATTTAAACTTAAAATACCATTTCTCCTCATGATTTTCGTAATCATTATGTTTTATGTTATTATTATTTCCTTTTTAGCTAAATTGGTAATTAATTTTTTTTTCAAAAAAAAAAAAAAAAAAAAAAAAAAAAACAAAATCGTTTTATGTAATTTAATAATAATTTGATATTGTTATGTTAGCAATCTAATTAGGCTGCATTTTAATGATTAAATTTTTTCAATTTTTGTAGTCATTGGTTAATTGAAAGGCTTGTAGCTTTTAGGCGTTGCTTAAATGTTCTAACCAACAGGATTTATTTAATTAATGGTTTTTTAGTTAAATTAATCACTCGTAAAATGGTTCTAAAAGACAATTATTTATTTAAAGATAAATCTTAATAACCTACACGTAACGTATTCGTAAACGTACATAACATAACAAACATACTTACTGCATCGTACCATTAAACATTTCAAGCGTACGTCATCTCAATGTGTATTTTTTTAAAATTATAAATTAAACAAATAGAACATGAAGAAAAGCTAAAACAAATAGAATACTGTTAACTTCCTTTTGTAGTTTAATTAATCACTCGTAAAATGGTTGTAAAAGACAAACATTTATTTAAAGCTAATAACCTACACATAACATAACAAACATACTTACTGCATCGTACCATTAAACATTTCAAGCGTACATCATCTCAATGTGTATTTTTTTTTTAAATTATAAATAGAACGACATCCAAAAATTAGCTGTTGCCATTTTCTCAATAGATATTTTGTCTAATAACAATTAAATAATTTACAATCGTGCTTACATTTGACCATCCTTTACATTTGACTTTTCAATTGTCCTCAATTGAACCAGATCTTGTCATACATTAAAACGACAAATAAACATCAACAAAAATATAATAATAGGTAGGGAAAAAAATGAAATATAATTTTAAAAAAAATTCTATACGTCCTATACAAAGTCTCTATAATGCAATGGTTTGCGCACTGTTCGCTTGGGCCTTTTAAGTTCATCATCATCTTCGTCATTATCGTCAACATCGTCATTGTCATCATCATCATTTGCTTCTGCATTTTTCCAAGATTTTTGTTGACTTACATGAGCAGTTGATGCATAAAAGCGACCATCACAGGCTTCTTCTAGTTGTGATATTCTATAAGTGTCGCCCAGAAGTACTTCTCTCACAACCATTGGACCACGATACTTGAGTTTTGGTTGGTTCTCCTGGTGTAGATTTTGAATTTCTTTATTTCTCCTTGCTCAAATGATAGAGATCCTGATTTCTTCTTGTCATAATAAGCTTTCATTTCCCCTTGTTCTCTAACAATCTTTTCTCTAGCTTGTTTTTGTAGTTTTTCCGGTTCCTTCCAAACTTCTGCTTCTTCATCAGCAAGTAATCTCAAAACTCCATCTTGAAATCGTGGTACATATCCATGAAGTATTTCAAATGGTCTTTTCCCAATAGTTTTATTAATTGTGTTATTCAAGTTTCTCTCAACTTCTTTAATTCTTTTGTCCCAATCCTTTTGATCTTTACTTTTCATTGATGTTACTATCGGTGATAAAATTGTTCTGTTCGATCTCTCGACCATACCATTCCCTTGTGGGTGGGAGGTTGAATTTAATGTATGAAGAATTCCCTTTTCCTTGCAAAAATTTTCAAATTCCTTTGAAGTAAAACAAGAACTTCGATCTGATATTATATGATCTGGTAATCCAAATTCTTCTGTGAAACTCATTAATGATTTCAGTACGTTCTTCTAAGATGTGTTTTTTCACAGCATACAATCGAACAAATCTCGTCATATTATCAATGAAGACTAACAATTCCTTGTTTCTTTTAGAACTTGTGATGAAAGGTCCAAGATGATCAATGTGTATTGTTGCAATAGGTCTGCAGCCTGGGGGTATAGGATGCAGAAAACCCTGTCTTTTTCCACCGGGAACTTTGTTGATGAGGCATTCGAAAAACATTGATATATGTCGACGAACATATCTCTTCATAGCAGGAAACCAGTACAGATCTTTGGTTTTTGAGACAGTCCTATCAACAGCAAAATGTCCCATAAGATTATGAAACTTCACAGCTATGCTTTTTCTCATGCTTGTAGGTACGACATATAATAACTTCTTCTTTTCTCCGTCCTCCGCAATATGGAACAGTCTATTCCTTTTCAAAATATAATTCTCCACATTTTGATTTTCTTCTTTGGTTCTTTCACTTGGGTCTTTCTTCAAAATTGTTATTGATTCTCTTAACTTTTCATCTGCATGCTGTATCATAAGAATTTGTTCGTCTAAATTTAAGGTCAGACTGAAAGGATCTTAAGTTTTACTAACGTTTATTTTATTTTAAATCTTTACTATCACTTCTTATTTTCTACTTCCGGCCAGAATTAAAAGCTTTAACTTATTTATGCAAATTTGTCTGACGAACGCCAAGTACTTAAGTTGTGGCTTTTTGCCAAGCAAGAGAGAGGAAGGAGTTAGTAGAAGCAGGCCGCTTGCCTTAGCAGTTTTACTCGGTTGCTGGTTGCCTTCCAGGCCAGAGGTTTAATCCTCTTAATAATTTTAAACGTGTTGTAGTGTTAACAGTTCTCTGTACTACATACGGCTTCCTGTTAATTTACGGCCAATCTTCCACATAGTCCCTTGTTTATTATTCCAAAGTTAAGTTAATATTTTTATATTCTTACGTTCAGATCACAAGTGGTTGGTCTCTGTATTCCGAAGTCCGGAAATTATTGTAAAGAGTGAAAAATAAAGGGTTTCGTATACCCTTCCTGTGTATCTTGTCTACTTCCCACATTTATTGAACATAGTTTTAGTAAGCTCCCTGTTCCGAGTCAGGTTCTTGAATGTTCCCCAAGCAAGTAAGGCGGAACATTGAACCTGATAAGACAAACTTCTAAATTATCTTCTATCAAAGAATGCATGGTGTCTGATGAATTAATAACAGGAGCTCTACTGATTGCATCGATATGAGACATTTTAATTCCTGGTTTGTGGCGTATTTCAAAATTATATTTCTTGAATAAGGATACTCCAACCAGCAATTTGGGGGATTGCTAGATTTCTTCGCATTTCATGTAAACCAATCCTTGGACAGTCGATAACATACCGTAAATTCAATTCCGAGTAAGAATTGTGGAAGTCCATCTAGAGTCTAGACGATGCCATTAGCTCAAGTTTACTCGAGTGATAATTCTTTTCAAGCTTCCGTTGTCTTTTTACTCACGCAGTAGACAAGATGCCATTTGCCGTCACTTCTGAGTTGAATTAACATGCCAACAATACCCTCTGAGCATGCATCAGTATGGACTTCTGTTTGAGCTTTAGGGTTGTACAAAGCTAAAATTGGTTGATTCGTCAGTTCATTTTTCAGCATTGTAAAAGAATTCCGCTGACTTTCTTCCCATCTGAATGTTTGATTTTTCTTAGTTAGTTGAGTCAATGGTGGTCCAGCTTTAATGGCATAATTTGGAATAAACCTTCTAAAAAATTTGTTAAACCATGAAATCGTCGAACTTCATGAAGGTTTTTAGGTTCTGGGAATTTTGATATTACTTCAACTTTTCTTGATCCCAGCTTTATTCCATTTTTATTGATTATAAAGCCTAAATATTCTATTTCTTGTTTGGCAAATTCGCATTTCGGTAACTTCAGGGTTAGTTTAGCTGCACGTAGTGCTTTGAATACTTTAATTAATTTCTGAATCATTTCTTCCCAAGTCCTTGCTGGAACAAGTATATCGTCAAGATAGCACTTCTTTATTACATAATGAGAATAATGCATGATACATCAATCATTGAAATTCCACAGGAGCGTTAGTCAAGCCAAAAATCATTCTTTCAAATTGTCCACTTTCATCCGGTGTTACGAAAGCAGTTTTCAATTTTGCACTTTCAGTTAATGGAATCTGTAAATATCCGTGTGCTAAATCTAGCATTGTAAACAGTCTACACTCATGCAATTGTTCTTATAAATCATCTATTTTAGGCAGGGGAAATTTATCCTTTATAGTTTGACTATTGAGAGGTCTGTAATCAACAACTAATCTGTATTCACCGGTCTTTTTCTTTACCAGTATGACAGGACTAGCATATGGGGATCGCGTTTCTGTTACAATTCCATTTTCTTTCCATTCTTGAACTATTTCTTTGATCGCAGCTCTTTCAAAGGCATTTGTTTTATAAGGCTTCATACATACTGGCTTTGAACCTTCGATTTCTTTAATGTCCATTTTTAGGAGATCTGTGCACCCTATTTCTGAAATATTTAGTGCAAAGCAATCTCTGTATTCTTTCAGAAGACACAATTACTCTTGTTGGTGATCAACGTCGAGATCCAAGCCAATTTTA